AAAAGAAATTTTTAATTTTTGATCAGAATTACCCCAACAGACTCTATATTTTAGTAAAACAGTGATTGAGAATTTTGTTTAGAAATATTCTTCTCTTTATCGAAATATTTTAAATAATAAATAATTTACGTTTCAGATAATAATCAGTTAGAGAAAATATTTTTATAGTAAAATAGATTGAAGTCTTCTATTCGTATGTGTCTTTAGTTGAGTTTTCTATGTTAGAAAGGTGTCTCTTGTCTATTGGAAGTTTGAATATAAATCGAGTTTCGATAACATTATGTTATTTCGAATATACATCAAACAAATTCGAACAAGCATTCAACTAAAAAACGTTCTCAAAAAGCCAAAATCAAAATTTTTGTCTCAATTATAATTACAATTCGAATAGGATCGGAAAAATCGAGATCGACAAAAACCTTTATGAAACTTTACTGAAAAGCTGGTTAAGACCGTTTCACATATTATCTCCATAGGTTCCTCAGACAGTCTGTTGGGTGGAAGACCCCAACGAACCCTCAGAGCATATCTATACTTGACTCGGAGAGAATCTCCCAAGATCTCCATGGATTTAGAATGGATCCTCAGAAAAGATCCCTAATGGATCTCAATGAGCTTCTCTGGAGATGACAACTGTTCCGCAGGATACTGTCTACAATAGAGATAATCAGAAGATCTCCATGAAGCCTCTTGGAATTGATTAGACTATTTCTATGGGTTTTTCAGAAGATCCTCTCTTGATATCCTCATCGTATCTATCAGGATCTCCTAAGAATCCCATAGAGGTTCTATGAGAATTCTCTCGAAATTTCTTTAGGTTTCTCGATAAATCCGTGAGGACTCTCAAGAGATCAGTTAAAGATGCTCTTCAGATCTCCTGGAGGTCGACTAAAGATCCAAGAATATTTTCAGCGATATCATAATAACCCCAAGAAATTTATTGGATATTCTTCCGTGATCCAGTTAAGAACGTCTCGGGAATTTGTGAGCAGGTTATGTATAATGGTCGAGAACCTCTTTTAGAATAGTGAGAAGTTGAGATGTGTATGCTTATCGGTGTCAAGCTAGCAGAATAGGACTACTCACCACGACGAATGAACAATAACTACACGTCGATATGTAAATGAATGAGAATGTGAGAAATAAAAAAGATGTTAACCAAGGACAAACCGATGAACATGTCACTCGATAGTAATATTGATATTAATATCACTGTTAGACAACCCCAGTTGATATTATCAAATGGTCCAGTAGAACTGGACTAATTTTTATCCGAAATTACTTTATGTATAATCTCAACAGAATTCTTTCGCTTTTAATGAGAAAAAACGTGTGTGTGTAGTAAAATTTTCTATAAAACTATCGAATGTTTCATTTAACCAAAAAAAAAGTTGAAAATGAAAAGATCCAAGAATAAATATGAAAGAGGCAAAAGCGTTAAGTTTCTAAACGACTTTTTAGCATGGTTAACATATTTGCAAATGAGGTATATAATCATCTTATCAAATTCACTCTTTTCTCTAATATCTTAGAGAATTGGTTCAAACGTAGATTTACAAAAGAAATGAGAATTTTTTTTTTGAATTTAACTGAATGAGATATGAAATTTGATCATATAATTCAGTCTATTAAACGAATCAAGTTATTGAACATCTTCTAATTGAATATAATAAGCATCTTATATCTACGGAAAAAAAACAAATTTGAGTTGAAAAATGTCCTCCTGTGGAAGAGGTAGAAGGATTTTTCTCGAATGATGTTAAGCTTCACTTTAAAAATGATAATTTTAGTCAAAAACGTTAAAACAAATTAAGTTGAAGTTGATATTGGACTAATTTTTAATTAATTATTTGACGAAGATAGACATTTTCAATTTCTACGAAATAAATAGTAAGATGTTGATATGTTAACATAAAAAAACAATTAAAAATCGAAAAAAATCTCATTATTCGTTTCGAAAGTTGATCACTTTCTTGGTTTTTGGAGTTTTTTTTTGTGCAGTTTTTCGATTTTCATCTTTGAAATAAAGCAGTTAACACAATTTTACTCAACAGTTTGTAGCAGATCTTATCGATGAAAAGATAAGTTATTGAGATAATATCTGAAAAATTTCGTCCCGATAACTCCCGACAAGTCCAATATAGAGTCGAATTATTTGATGAAAGTCCAACAAAAATAGAATTGGTCTATAGGTTATTCTTTCGAAAGTGTATCAGAGTCAGGGCTGCCAACTGTACCCCTGAGGGGCACATTTTGTACCCCATTTGAGGGTTTGAGTCTATACTATGATAAACTCTGATCTCAGACTAGGAGTTTTTGAAAATATAGGACTTCGTATAGGATTCAGTCTTTGTAAAAAAGGATTTCCTTTGAAAAGTGACGAAAATAAAAGATTTTTCATCTTTAGATGTTAATGGAGTTTTTGATTAAAATAACTGTCACTTGAGCTTTTTTTCTTCTAAGATTGTAGCTAGAACAATGCGCAGTTTATAGACGCTAAAATAGAGTGATTATTGTATTGATTCATACAAAAAAGTGGCTCTTCCAATATACCAAACATACCCATAAAATGCCTCTTATCAGACGTCAGTAAAATAAAAGAGAAATGTTTATGACTTCCAATAAAAAAAACAAAAATAGAAAGTTTTATCACTCTCGAAATTATATAAAAACTCGATAGATAAGGCACAATTGTCTGGTGACTATAAACGTTTTCAAAGTGAAATTATAAGAGATATCGTTCGAATTTATTGACTATTATGTTGATTATATTGTATTTCTTTCATCGTTGGAGTTTCTATATTCTACAGTTCTTTTAAAATGTTTGTCATTTCACTTTTTCAGATTGAAGGGGCTGTTTGAGCGAAAAATAGATATCTGCTCATATGTGAAAGAAACAGAAGCTCAATTTGAAAAGACGAATCAATATCTTAAAAACGTTGATATATCTTAGATACCTAATACCGTCTATAGCGTCGAGCACATGACTACATAGTATTCAATAATTGAGTAGACTTTAAAAAAAATACTTTTTTTGAAACAATTCTTGTTATTATACATTCGACACTAAAATATGAATTAGATTTTGTCTGAAGAGAAAACTTTATATGGAATAGAATTAATAAATTGATGAAAATGTTCTACTTTTTGAGCAAAATATCGATAAAATAGGAAAATCAATCAAAATACAGGACAAAAGTAAAGGATTTATAGGACGAATCTGACTCCCGTAAATCGATCTTCTAGCAAGACTATGTTACGTTCTCCGATAGACTTCTGTCATTTTTATAGAAGCTTTTACAGCAAAATGCGCTCACAAAGAACTGGCTAATGAATCACTCTACCTACCTACCTGAGGTTCCTGAGTTACAAATAAGATTGAACTGTAAGATGAAATATCTCGTTGGTATATAAGTTCTGCACATTTGGATCAGTAGAATTATATTGCCAATATAAAAC